TGTCAGAACAATTTTTTGTATATCCTTGAGGCATGGACTTCCAGGAATCCCTTCAATTAGTCTACTGCAATCTTTTCCAACCAGTCCTAGGGCTCCAACTACAACAGGGATTGTTGATGTTCCCATATGCCACATTTTCGAGATTTCTATTTCAAGGTCCTTGTACTTTGACAACTTTTTGAATATCTTCAAAGATACATTGCAGTCAGCAGGGACTGCCATATCAATAAGGAGGCACCGTTTTATTATTATTATTATTATTATTGTTATTATTATTATTATTATTACTCGTTTACTCGTACCGCTGGAAAAACTGCCATATTTAAGCAATTTGTTATATTTTCGCTACCAGTATTTCAATCTCAGCCCGTGTCCAATTGATTAGAACGTTCGATTTCAGGCAATGAGACCTGAGCTCGAATCTCAATGTGATCGAGGTTATCAACCTGGGGAGTTGATTCCAGTGCGTAGCAGCGTTAGAAAGTGCCAGAAAACTATACAACAGATTAAACGAAGCCCTGTGAGTGCAACTGGGTAGACGGTTTTATTCGACGCCATCGATGGCTGTGCTAGCACGAAATCAAACATCATGATCGAGAGTATTGAGCATATTGGCCTTGTTCAAACTAGTGACTACGCCAGATTATACGCTCTCTCCTTCTCAGAAATTGTAGTTAACTGTAAGTAAATAGTGGCAGTATAAACCACAAGTGAACTCTGTGGCCGTTAAACAAACACAAATGTACCCATGCAGTTCAAATAGGGATTGGTTATACCGACTTAGGCGTAATCGAAAACGAGTAGCCTGCCATTATGATTAATTTTAAACTATCTATTCAGTTAACTTGTCGCGTATAAAAAAAGAATTGTAATTCTCTTCTTCATCAATGTGCAGTGTCCCTTCAGGACGTGAGTAATCATAGATCTATACAATTTCCTATCTTTAGTAGATCTTAGCAATATTTTTCTTATTATCGTTCTCATTCCTTGTTCTACCATATATTTACACAAATTCGTTGGGCGGGTTACTCGCTGTTTTCTTTATGTCTCTTTTGCGTTCAGTGTGTCTTGTAAGTGTCAATTTCTCCAAGCGCCCCACCTTCATTATGTACCCTAGAAATATCAACTGTCTCTTTTATCTAATGTCCATTTTGACTTCATCTTCTTTAAAACTTCCTCGTTACTTAAATGCTCTACCTTTGGTATTCTCTGCATCTTTCTGTTGAACCATATCTTTGTTGCACCAAGTCTCCTCTTCATCTGTAACGACACTGCCCTGCATTCACTCCCATTCTGCTTTTAAAATCTTTAAAATATTCAAAGAAAACTTGCATAAGCCAAAAGTAATAAAATTCGCATCCTGGTGTTCCCTACTTACTAATTGTCATGGGTCCTTAACTATAACTACAGAATGAACTCTTCCTAACACTATATATACTACGCCTCTCAAGAGAGAGGGTCGAATCGAGTCGAGACGATAGTAGTTTACTCCAAACCAGACTGACAGTCATACTAACACCTTCCACATCTTTTATTATTATTTCGTGTAATATACCTTCATTATTTCTACTCTTGTGTCCGTGTTGTTCTTCCTTGGTCCTAACCTGGACCATAACACTAATGATGTTACTTGCTGAAATTGCAGAACGAGTCATATTTGAATATTGTTATGGAGTAATACCTCCTGTTATCAATGGTTTTATTATTATCATTTTTGAGTTAGGAATTTACACGCCAACAAAGTGTTGTTGGGATAAAATAAACAAAACACGATATACCCATCATCATAGTCAGGTTGGTAAGAGTATACTAGACACATAAATCATAGAAAAATATGTGCTATACGGTGACAGGTTTTGATAAAACAGCATATAACTTTGCAGGTGGGGGTCGAGTTAGAAATACCTTCATTCCGAGTAACCTAGTCTATCCAGACGGCCTCAAGAATTTAGACGTGATTCTCTGCCTCATCCTTCAGACTTAAAATAAATCAACACTCCTGTCACTTGGCCATGATATTCCCCACCCCACTACTCCCTCTTATGAACAGAAATTCAGAGTTCGCCCCCAACCCCGGAGAATGGATATGCCCCACTAGCAACTGACACGCAAATAAGTGCTCCTGAACGGTCACAGAACTTAACGTCAATTCCGTACATTACGTAGATGGGTGACGGCTTGGGAATACCAGGTCCTGTAAGCGTGTGGTGTAATGGATATTGGCTCGGAATTGTTATTCGGAGAACCGTTGGATTCTTTATATTTACCTACGCGCAAATACTCTTTGGATAGGTATGAATCCACCTTTTCTCCCCTAGCTGTCGGTTAATTAATTTTCTGACTTTAAATAACGTGCAATGGGTTGATAAACCGTAGAAAACGAATCATGTGCATGTTAACACATACAATAAATTAAAATCAAAGCCATGACAACTATTATTATTACTATTATTACTATTATTATTGATGGAGAAATACAAAGTGGTGCTATATATATATATACTTATCACGGTACCCAATCTGACATCAGATAAGTATGTGAGACGTTGACACGTTTTGAGAGAAACAGCGCATAATCTTGCAAGTGGAACATAGTTAAAATACCTTCAGGTCGGATAACTCAGTCCGCTCATTTTTTTCATTATATTGTTATTATTTCATTGGTTCTTATGCTTTTATCAACTGTTTCTGGCGAACAGCATATCCCCTCAAATCTCTAGCAATTCTTTTAACTTGCAGACTCCAGTAATGCTATGGTCAAAGCGGACTTAGCCGTTCATAAAATTCTTATCCAAGCTTGAAATTAGGATTTGGACACTGTCCCAATGTAGGCAACTTACTAGGCTCAACACTCGTTATTAGAATAATGAATGCCTCTCAACTATAGCGGCAACAAAAGGTCTATTTCAAAGAATCAGTAAAAAGTAGAAAAATATTTTAATCAAAGATACTATATTCGGAATAACAGAAATAACTTACTGGACTACTGAACACTCCCAGCGATGTAGAATAAGCCCATGGATTATAAAAATATTGTAAAATTTCTGGTGGGTATAAAATAATTCTCTGGTTCATAAAGTGTCTATAGTTCCCAAACACAGACAGAAATGGTAGCTTCTTCGATACAGCGAAAATCTCAAGGCGAAGTCAGGTTCTCTTTTAACTACTAACTATAATATGTAAGCTGATGAGATGGGTGTTGTGTTTAGGTGAAGGAACAGTAACAGTCTTTAGTCGTTTTTTTTATTATTATTTTGATTTTATTTCTGAATTCGGTTAACGGCATCACACACTCACGTCCGATCTCAAATAATGAAACGAGGGGAACATCCTTTTGGAATTCTAGGATCGATGTCAGCTAGTTATGGTTTTGCTCATCCTGTTCATTCTTTTTGCATGATGGGCAAAAATGTTTTATTTTATTTTATTTTTATTTTCTTTATTTAATTAGTATTTATTTATTTTGTAACTGCCACAATATCTCCAGGCTAAAAGTGGAGTTTCTAAGTGAAATAGTGAAATTATTCTGTTTGGAAAAGATTATAACTTCAAAATTATTAAATACGATTGTGTATATAAAGAAAGGGAATTACAAATAATATTCGCAGTTATTTGCCAAAATTTGTTTGAAGCTTTGACACATAAAAAATACTTCTGTTGGAATAATTTTGAAATTGAAAAATATACATTAAAATTTACTTATTAGAGATGCGCTCGCAACAGTCCCAATCCGTCATGCAAAAAGATTTAAAGAATAGAAAATCTTAGGGAGAATTGAAACTATCTCGGTGACAGCATTGCCAAACTTAGTAATAATTTTAAGTTGAGTGGTTTAGTAGCAAGATTTGCTGTCGCTTGGTTTCCCAGCAAAGACCTCAGTTACTAGCGATTAATAAATAATAATAATAATAACTACAACAATCCGGTATGAACATCACCCAGATCCATTTACTGAGAAAGGACCTGTAATAATTTTATGGGACTTTACAATATACAGAGACAGAACAATCAAAGATAATCGCATAGATATCATGATCAAAGACCGCAGAAAAGAAATGTGCTTTCTTATTTACATGGCAGTCCTTGCAGATTGTAATGTAAGATATTAAAAAAAACTGTCAAAATGCAAGGATCTTTAAGTGAAAATCTCAAAAATGTGGAACGTGAGGACATCAATAATTCCAGTTGTAGCTGGAGTCCTCGGTTTGTCAAAGGTTTTGATAGAGGCATTGAAAGGATTCCTGGTAGCCCATCACCTAAAGAAATACAAAAAATTGTACCCACAAGTACAGCTCACACATTACGAAGAGCTTTGTCTATGTAAAATATGTGTGATCTTTGTTTTTGTTTTTTGTGTTTTTTGTGTTTTTTTTTTCTTTTACAAATTATGGTCAGTGGAAAATGTCATGAAGACTTTTCTGACTTCAGGTCTCTGGTTGAGACCTGGATGGAAATGTGTATACAGCAGAAACCCAAGAAAATAATAATAATAATAATAATAATAATAATAATAATAATAATAATCAAAATAGCAAGAAAATTACTTGAGTTTGAACAAGTAGACACATACATTTTTACGTGTCATGCCCCTTCAGAACGTGGGCGAATATGGCCCTTTACAACTTTCTTTACTTTAATCTACGTGAATTGCCATGATATCTTGTGGAAACTAGTCGTGTAGATTCCCGCTACCTTTCCACGGTTTTCAATGCACAGTTGTCGTTTCGCTATCCTGGGCCAAGGGGCTCAGTCTCTTCTGCTATTCAAGCCATAGATGGAGGCAGAAAATCTGAACTGATGCTCCTTTTCAAAGGCTTCTGTACGGAAAATGAAATCATTTGAACTCGGCTCTCCGAATAAACTTTCCATCTTTATAAACATTATAGTACTTCTCAAAAATTCTACCTATGAAAGTGTGTGCCATTTTGTGTGCGTGACTGTTTGAAATTTTCGATTATTTAACTTTCGCAGACAAAAAAGAGTTAAAGTTATCATTTTACCTTATCGTATTCCTGAATCAACAAGCGGAATCGTTCTGGTAGGTAAATTCCAACTCTTTTTATGAAAATCCATATTGCATAGTTCGCAAGAATTCTGAAAGATGATTACGACAAAATTATATAAGAAAGAACATAATTGGAAGAAAAGAGAGAAAAAAGAAAATAGAAAAAAAAAAACAAGTAAAATATCTAAGAATGAATAAACATTAAAAAAAATAAATATGGCGAAAATAATTACAAAGTGTCAATAAATGCATAAAACGGGATTACGGATAGAAGCCAGCAAACTAGAAAGAAAGAATGAATGAAAGAGAGAAAATAAGAGTGAGTGAGGGATTTGATTTTTACGGCTTATCAACCATTTTCATGTTATTTAAAGCCAGAAAATATCTTTTTAGATTGTAAAATTTATTTGGAGATAATGGTTTACTGATACATGTCCTACTAATTCAACCAAAGTAGCCGTGGATTTATACCTTCCCTAAAGGCATTTGAATATAACGAGCACATCTGACATTGAAACTCGGCTCTCCGATTTCCAATTCCGAGTCATTATCCATTACACCAACCGCACACCCAAGAAAGAAAGAAACACAAACAAACAAATCCATTTGTAAGTGATGAACTATATAATTAATAGACATCTTGAACCAAAGAGAATCCTCCAAATAAATATAGTTTTAATTGACACAGTACACTTGAGTTTCAAACAGCCCGTATGGTTGGAATAAAAGGGATAGCTGGATTATTTTTAAATATTTAAAAAATAATAATATTCAGTAATGAAAAGTGTTACCCGAAAACGGTCGCAGTCTAATTTAAAAAGGTGGACAGAAATTTCCTGAATATCCTGGAATGGATTTTTCTTCAAAAAAAAAAAAAAAAAAAAATTGCCATCTATTTGAAACGGAAACGAAACTGAACGTAAAAAGTTATTTTTAAAAATTGAGAAATAAAAAAATATTATTAAAGTCTTCTTCATCTAAACTTTGATAATTTCGGAAATTAATTTTAATCTTAAATTCTTCTAGATCGCTGAAATACCTTTTCGAATTGAACAAAAATGACTATTGTTATGATGTTAATTTGGGGTTAATAAAGACAAACGCCAAATAACATGTAACAATAAAATGGGGTTTATTCGGTTGGTAAGTTGGTACAGATATCGCCTGAGTAGTTTATAACTAACTCAGCTCAGAACTTCTTCGACACTGTCTTTTGACATGCCACTATTTTAACGTCCTTGTTTGTAGACGAGTTCATCTTCAAGAGGGGTGGTAGGTTCCTACACAACAACTATTTATACGATTTACTATTTATAATTAAAAACAAAAACGAACGAGTATTTATTGGAAACACGAGCGAAATGCCGTTGTAAAAATAACGAGTCATTTTCTTTTCTTCCTCGTAGAATCGGAAACAAACTTGAATACAATAAAACATTCATAATGTCAGTCCACCTATAAAACTGAACCTATTAAATGATACAGATTAAAAGCTACATTCACAGAAAAATAGAGCTTTTAACTGTTGATCGTTTTTATATCTATTTTTTACTAAAGTTCAACCAATGCAAAGCTTGAAAGATAATCAAGGTAGAGGATTACTGAATGAAGTGTTTGATATGTATATAACAGGAGATAGAAGGAAATGAAGATTATAAGGATAAACACGACAGATAACGATTGAAACTTGATTTGAAGATTGTAGTGTTCAGGGAAGCAACATCGCGGGAGTCTATTCTATAAAATGGCAGTTCTTGGGGAAAATCTGTATGATATCATTTAGAAAATTTCTGCTTACTATTTTTGTTTAGTCTAAGTTAGATTTATTGGACATAAGTCTTTGCTATTGGTGGAAGTGGAAGTTTATAATAACACTACTAATATTTCCATGGTTAATTTCTGGCTCCTTCTTCTTCTTCTTCATTCCTTCATGTGCCGTGTCCTATCAGGACGTGAACGACCACAACTCTCTATAACTAACTACCCATGGTTGATCTTAGCCATGTTTGCCATCTGCCACCATCCCTCTCCTGCTATTCGCTTACAAAAGCTCGTTAGATATGTTAATCGCTGTTTCTCTCTCTCTCTCTCTCTCTCTCTCTCTCTCTCTCTCTCTCTCTCTCTCTCTCTCTGTTACTTTCAACGTAAGTTGTAACAGTTTATTTTATATATATACCTACTTTAGAATTATTATTGATATGGATATTTTTGGTTCTGCTCATATCCATAATAGTTTTGGATGCGGTTGTAATTATTTTGAAATTTTTAAGATCGGATAAATTGTTTTGGGTAGTAGATGTTAAAGAGTTAGTAGGTAACATTATATATCTGTTTATATCTAGTTTATTGTCATTGTTATTGTTGTTGTTAATATTGTCATTAACGGTTGTATATTTGTATGCTTTTCTTTTAGCGTTGCGGATAAGTATATTGGAGGTTGTTAAAGGTGTTTTCTATGTATATTTCTTCTTCAGGTAGCTTCTTTGGAAGCTGCAGATTCTTAGTGATCTTAAATGAAATGCTTTAATTATTCCATAATTTATTCCGAAAGAGTGGTGAGAATAGAAATTAATAAGGACATTCTTGTTGGTAGATTTTTTGTAAATCTTCTGTAACAGTCATTATTAGTTCCCTGTAGCATGATATCTAGGAAAGGTAAAGTGTTGTTAGATGCAGATTCAAAGATAAAAGATATTGTTGGTTCGACGTTGTTAAGTTTGTTGACAATGTCACGTGGATATATTAACAGAGAATCATCTATGTATTTAAAGTTAAAAGAATTTTGATGTAAAATAACTTTTCAAGGGCCCCTTTCTAGACTTTCTGAAAATAGACAAGCCAAAATGCCACTATCATTGGGGAATCTTCGTCGGTAAACCAAATTTTTGTCTTTAAAATTGTTATCAAAGGTGAAAAACATTGATTAGTGATTAAATGACACATTTTATGATCTTTTATGTTTTTTGTTTTTGTTCAATGTGTTTTTAGTAAATTTAGGCATTTTTCTAGAGGAGTATTTTATATAAAGATTTTTTATCTAAACTATATCTAGGCATATATTTGTTTTTTTATGTTGTTTTTTTTTAATTCATTTAAAAAATAACGTGTGTTTTTATATGTGAGGAGCTAATTGTGCGAAAAAGTTGGGTTAAATTTTTGGCTAGTGCCCTGGTGAGTTTGTGTTGGGTGCTACCTGTTCCTGATATAATGGATCTCACTGCGATATTTGGTTTATATACTTTTGGTAATCCGTAGAGTATGAGTGTTCCGGGTAATGTTCGATAAGTTTTAGCCAAGAATTGTCTTCATTGTTTTCACAAGAGACAGAAATATTTAACCATGTGGTAAGAATTGGTCAGGTACTCATCTACCCAGCAACCCTACGACCACACCTAGTCATGGGACTCATGATGATAATGTTTTATTCTTCTTTTTTATGACAGAGATATATCTTGAGAAAGATATGGTCGTTTCTCAGACTCTTTTTGGTAGGCGGGTTGTTTATTCCCAGTTGTAAACATTAGAGATAAAAAAAGCATTGGTTATGCTGTTAAATACTGCAAGAATTTATTAGAATCGTATGTAACACGACACAGGCTAAAATCGAGGTGCCATAAAACTATATTTTCAATTAATCATTTTTCTTTCTCACGCTACCAGTCAACTTATTTTTCTTGTTTCACTTCTAACTATAAATTGATCTGAATCTAGTCTAGTTTTATGTTGCATTCTTTGAACTTCGTTTGTACAGTAAATGGCTCATGCATCATAATGATGTTAATTACTTTTACTACTGATCAAGTTGTCTCAATTCAGTTATGAGCGTGACACACGCTTACACGATCATTTATCTTTCTATATATATGACTGACGAGGCAGATTTTTTCCCGCAGTAAGTTGCCATTTCTTTCTGCGGTAAATCAGTTGCCATCCAAGTCTGTCCTGCTATTTACCCATAGTTTATTGTTATTATTGTTAATAGCAGGACTATTTACCCATAATTTATTATTTTTTCTACTGATCAAGTTGTCTCAGTCAGTTATGTGCCATGCATGATACACGCTTAGGCAATCATGATTCTTTCGATACATGACAGACGAGGCAAATTTTTTTTCCCGCGGTAGACCATTTGACATCCAAGGCTACAGAACCCGGTCTGTCCTGCTATTTACCCGAGGGAGAAGGAGCGTATCAGCGTAAGTGAATGTAATGGATTCGACTGGAATTCGAACTCGGCTCTCTGATTCCTTAATCCGAGTCGCTATCCATTATTCCACCGTGCCTCCAAGTTGTCTAATGATTGTTATTATCCTCTCAGACAACAAATTTTTGCAATTATTTCTATTTTATTTTAATTTACTTATTTCGTTGCAGTTATGAATCGATAAAATTTCTTGTTTTTAATTAGATCACCTCATTCAAGGCAATAAAGCCACTAAAACGCAAGCGGTTATAGAGTGTGGAAGAACAAGAAAAAAAATAGAAATACCAGGAAGCGAAAAGACTAGAAGAGTAATAAAAAAAGTCGATGGCGATTGATATTGCATTTGAATTTTTGAAAATCAAAGTTGGCTAGAAAGCATGAAGCTGGAACCGAGTTCCACAAGCAAGAAAGGTGAGAAAAGAAACTCTTAGAATAGAAATTACGGTTAAACCTCAGCCAATTCAACTGTGAATCGGTGATACCTTGTCGCCAATCTCGTACTTCGTTTAAATATAGGTACCATAGTGAAAAGCTCATCCGAACAATTACCATGAAATTTTTTATAGAAAATATACAGCGAAGCTACATTATGGAAGTGGAAAAATAACGGAAACCGAGATGCGAGGTGAGGACCAGTAATATTGTTGATTCATTTTTGGATCTTATCAAGGATCTCTATATACAGCAGGAGCACCAGACCAGATGTGGCAGAAATAATCAAAACATGGACGAATGGTAGACTAATAAATATGCAAGATAGATTCTAGAGAGAAAAATTGTCTAGCACGATACAATGAATCGACTTTCTTAACAGCAGACCTAGCAATGGATTCAATAAAGTCTTTCCACTTCATATCAACCGAGAATATCAGACCAAAATGGCGC